TCATGCCAGAGTTTTGGACAAAATTCATCTCAGGCTTCCCTCAGTGAACATCAGAGGACGGTGTTAGCTTTCTGCTCTCTACTGGCTAGAAGACTTATTCTTCTTCGATGGAAGGATCCACATCCTCCAGTATATGGTCATTGGTTAAGAGAAGTTATGTCTTACATTCATTTAGAGAAGATTAGATATACTGTTAGGGGATCTGTAAACAAATTCTTTGATATCAGCCATTTTTATCTTATGTAGAAAAAATTTCGGCAGATAATTTTGTGTAAAGGTTAAATATTGTTTCATTGTACACAAACCTGCTCATTGTATCATTTGATGAATACAAGATCGTTTTTTGTTATTTCAGTAGATCCAGTATAGGAGGGGAGGGATGGGAGGGATTTTGGGTGTGTGTGTTTTGTTTAGTGTTTTTGTGAATCTGTTCCTTTTTGTGGTTTGTAAAAAAAAATTTAATAAAAAGACCTTGATCAAAAAAAAAGCACTCTGGGTATGTTTTTGATGAGGTAATGACATCATAACATGACATAAAGCTAAAAAAATTCCATTTTGCACAACACCCCTCCCTTTAACTCAAATGTAGTTTAAGGAAATGCTGATAAACTACTCATATTGGGATTGCCTCTCATCTGTGTCACTGTTTATCAGTCTGACACAGATCATAATAACTCCCACTTATCTTGGAATGACAATCGAGGAAGACCCACATTGACAATCTGCCAAAGAAACTCAAGTTAAAATTGAGGTTCTACTTTTAGCTGTTTTCCGTTTCATGCCCACCTTCTTGGCTCTCCCAGACTATGTTAATATTGTGTCTATAAATGCTGAGTAAGAAGGCGTTCTTATACACTGGCCCTTCCAGCTGGAACATGTTTCAACAGGATCAGAAGATGTCCGGTCTTATGCTGGAGACTTTTAAACTTTTAATGAAAAAAAGGAGAAATAAACACTCGTTTTTAACTGTTTTTTTTTATTGATGTTACTTTTATGTCAGTGTAACTTATATAAATTTTATTTAATTGTACATTTTATGCTAAAATCTTATTGATTGGATGATTTTATTTGTGCATAACAGTGTCTCAGTGTAACCAGCTGTGGCAGTCATTTCATTAACAAACACAAACGCCTACAGGCTAAAACATAATTCTGCTGATAAAAACACACTTGTTTAGTTGAGAGGAAGTGAAACTAAAAGGTGAAATCGTCAAACAGATAATGGTTTACTGGTAAGCTTACCTCTGCTTCTAGCATGCAGTAACAACATAACTTATTGCTCTAGAAATATACAATCAAAGAGGTTTTCATTATAATAATTGTGGCAGCAGTTATTCATGAGCAATAACATCCGTCTGTACTTCCCACAGTAATCACATTGAGCCAAGTGTTATGTCTACTTCCTGAATGGAAAATTGCAGAGGTGGAAAATCCCCCCTCCACACGCTCCGGAGACAAACGCCTCGCCTGGCCACTTGAGAGTCACAACTAAACTCCCATTTGCATTTGATGGTCTCATTAAGCAGCCCATTAGGAGGCTCGCTGTGTGGATGGGAGGTTTGCTGTAGCAATTTGCAGTCTGATGGTCGCAGGATGGTTTTTGGCTGCCCTTAAGAAGCCAATGTTTTTTTCTTTATATTTATATTTCATATACACTCACCGGCCACTTTATTAGGTACACCACGCTAGTAATGGTTTTGTGGTCATAAAGGGATGGACATGGTCAGCAACAATACTCAGGTAGGCTGTGGCGTTGCAACGATGCTCAATTGGTACCAAGGAGTGCCAAGAAAAGATTCCCCACACCATGACACCACCACCACCAGCCTGAAC